CTCGTATAATGTATATTAAAATAGATGAAAATAAAATATAAATGTGAACCAGAGCCTTAGTTCTCCCCTGAAATATAGCTTTTTCTGAGAACAATTTTAAAAGGAAGGATTGTTTATGTAATCCTTTTGGATTCAGCTTTATTAAATGTTAAAGCAATTTATTGTCTCTGCTAACATTGTCTGAGCCATGTGCTACTTGCAAAGGCAAGGGATAAGTGACTCTCCCTTTTCTAGTCCTCCCCACCCCCACCCCATGAAGTCTTCTGGAGAATTTTCTAGTTAAATACATGCCCTGATATAGAATAATAGCAAATTACTCACCATCATGTATCAGCATTCTCTGGCAAAAAGTTTTGAGCTCAGAGTAAGCATACTTTCATAGTACATAGTGACATAAGACTTAGAAGTGTTCACTGATGCTAAAAGGAAAGCCTTGAAAGCAAGGCTTCTCAAACCTTGAAAAAAGACAAAGATTTTCTCTTTTTTAAGATTTTTTTTAATGTGTGTGTGTGTGTGTGTGTGTGTGTGTGTGTGTGTGTGTGTGTGCAGAGGCCTGTGGAGGTCAGAGGCATCAGATCCCCCAGTAGCTACAGTTACAGAGCTGGAGTTACATAAGCTATGGACCTCTAAACATGGTTGCTGGGAACTGAATTTGGGTCTTCTGGAAGAGCATTGAGTGCTCTTAAATGCTGAGCCATTTCTCCAACCAAAGGCAGAATTTTCAACTATGAACGTTTTGAAGCAACTGCTTTTTGGTGCATTGGGGTGGGGTGAAGGTGGGGCTGTGATGTGCACCACAACACACTAAAAAGCATTTCCATCTGCTCACAGATGCTAGTGCCACTGGCCCAATGTCACAACCAGAACTCTTCAGAGACTGTTAAATGTATTCTGAAGGGAAAAATCACCATGACTTTAAAGCTACAGGTCTAAAACAGAATGTGTTTTTTATTCCCCAGAAAAATGACTTCTGCTTAATATAATAGTTTCCTTGGAAATTCATTATATTTGTATTTTGGAAGAGAGTATATTCTTCTGGAGTTTCACTGAGCCTTATTGATTTGATTTCTTCTCCTGCTCATTCCCTCAATGAATCAAATTTTCTCATGCCTGAGTTAGCTTGACCAATCTCATTAACAATCTCACACCCATTAAATTCCATTAATTTGCTTCAGTGTCAGAGAATCCCCTATGGCCTGTAGTTTCTAAGTACATCACCCTTCCTTTGAGGGAGTGGCTTGTATACTTCAGAAAGCTGGTTGAAGACTCGTGGTTCTGCCAGATACATGCCAGAATGAATTCTTTTAGGGCTCATGGCCAAGGAGTAAGAATATCTTTCTGAAAAAACTTTAAAAGTCTTCAGAGTGCTTGGACTTTGGACTAATAAAAACCTAATAGAAAACTTATATGATAGTACAAAATACAACAATATTAAATCTTTTTCCTATCAAAAAGCAGTATATACCCAAATATGGTCATAGGTTTTACGATAGTCTCATGCTTCTATTAATGTATATATTAGGATGTAGATAAGAAGAATAATCTCTCTACAATGTCTACAGTAACTAACTTCTCTGATGAATAAATCATAATTTCTAGTCTACAAAACTAGCCTATCTCACAATCTCACAAGGTTGCTGTGAGAACAAAAAGCTGATAGATAGGAGACAACTGAAAACCACAGAGCTCAGTCAAGAAGAAAGAGATTGCTATCGTGCATCTGGTATGACACAGAGAGCAGAGAAAGTAGATGCGGCTGTATTTTAGCTCTGTCCGTACTGCTCAGCATTATTGTCATGATCTTTATCTTCAATATTTATTGAAAAAGAATGAGTTATGTTTAATAAAACTTTCATGATAATTATGATAATCATGATAACTATAATTCTCTATTTTTTCCATCGAAAACAAAATAGCCTCCAAAGATGGAAGAGGAAAGGCTACTACTATTACTACACACAATGCACATACACACACAACACACATGCATGCACAGACACATGCACATGCACAAACTCAAGCAACACATGTGCATGTGTGCCCATCTTCATGGAGATTTCTCATTTACATTACCTTATGCTTCCATTAATTTGCTCTTTCAACCCAATTGTTTTCTTAACATAAACTATATTTTACTTATAGAATTCATTACTAAAATATAATTTTGCATTATTTTAATTGACAAATATCAAATATACTTACTCTACATGGCATGTCTTAAAGCATGTACATAATGTGAAGTGGATAAATAGAGTAATTAATATAAGCTTTATTTCACATACTTATATTTTCTTGGTGAGATTATTGGAAATCTATTATAAGCAATTTTAAAAATCATGCCTTTTTTTACTCTAAGATAGTATATTTTTACCATCACATCCTAAAACTTTTCTTATTGGAGAGAATTGTTGTGGTACAGATTATATATATATGTGTGTGTGTGTGTATGTGTGTGTGTGTGTGTGTGTGTGTTAATTTATATATGAAGGTAAGGTGAAATAAAGTTCCAGGCTGCTAAATGGGATAGTGTATGCTTAGTATTGGGGAGTAGAGATTCTTGTCCTTGAACTATTTCAAGATAGTCTCTGAGTAAACAGTGTGAATTCTCCTGAATATGTTATTTAAAAGATGCTGGAACTGATTATTGAGAGTGAGTATTGTCTTATAGTTTAAGATTTTCTTTAGAAATACATTCATATATATTGGGAGGTCTAGATGGGGTGAGAGCAGAGTCAGTGATTCTACAATATTTATATATCAATGCCAGTACACAAATGTTTAACTGTAGCTTTTTATTGGTCAGCAGTTGGCAAAGAATTCAGTCAGTATTGGCATATAAGTGCCCTTTAAAAGAAAAATGGACCCTTTTTTTTTATTTTGCTGGAATGTACAGCTTAAAGACTTTACAATTTTATTGTTGAAATTGATTTTCTTATAACAAGCAATTATACTTTGTGTTAATTGAATTATTTAAAGTGAGACAATACCTAAAACCCTAAGATAATCACTGCTATCCTTCTCCGCAGCTTGCTACAGTTATAAAGCCAAAATAATTTTGTCACTCATTGTCAAGGAAAACTTGGTTATAAAGAAAAGTTCAGGTAGATGTCTGGTAAGTTTTTGCAAAAAATCAGTAAAAACACTCTTAAATATAAATTCAATTCTTCACTCAAATCAATCCCTTACACAGAGCAGTAATAGCACAGGAAAGAAATTTGATCATTTCTAGCACTGACATCAGTCATCAGGCTATTTAATCATCTCCATCTCGATACGCATTAGGACCACTTTTCAGGACCCACAGACAAGTTAAGTCACTAGGAAGAGCTAAATAATGGCAAGTGGTAACTTTTAAGAGTTAAACAGAACAGTAGTCATTCAAAAGGCATTGCAGTTTGAAAAACATCCTTTCATTTTAAGAGCACCCACTTTTAGTTAGTATAGAGTAAATGACTCACTCCAAAATAAAACTGTAATTATAAGATCCAGGAGTGAATATTATTGTAAACATGGATCTCTTGTAAAATTTTCCCTTATGACTTTTCCCATGATACTATTACCTTGAACTTAAGCCTTAAAATTAAGTTACGTGCATTTTGTCTATGTTGATGAAATGCTGCACATGCTTTCAAGTGCTGTCACAATACCTTAAACAATATTTTATTTTTCTGTGTATGAATGTCTTGCCTTCATGTTTGGTAGGTGCACTGTGTGTATTCAGTGCTCACAAAGGCCAAAAGAGGGCATTGGATCCCCTGGAACAGGGGTTACGGACAATTATTACCTGCTGTGGTGGTGCCGGGATCTGAACCCAGGCACTCTGCAAGTGCTTTTAACTTCTGAGCCGTTTCTCTAGCTCCTGTCACTGTGCTTTTAAATTATTTGTTGCCCTGAACATGGAGGTATAAATTTCAGTATATTAAAATGTATATTCAGTATATTAAAATGTATATTTAATGTATATTAAAATGTATTGTATAGATAAGTGTCTGTGAGGTGCCCAACCCTTAGTAAGACATTTACAATGCAACCTTTACACCTAAGGCTGAGGAAGCCCCACCTGAACCCCAGAACAGGTTTCAGATAGAATATTGATGTATTTCTCAACTCTCACCAGTGAAGCATCCTCATGATGGTGATTTACCCAGAAAGCTACAACTTGCCAAAATGAAGAAAATAAGAGATTCCAGAGAACTTATCCCTAAATAGGAACCCTATATAAAGTTTCTGCCATTCAAGACTCAGGGACCATTGTGGAAGAGGGGATGGAAAGATTGTAAGAGCTAGGGGTAGTTGATGACTACAAGGAAACAGATTTTTCCAGACAGCTGGGAAGCTACTCATATGAATTTACAGCAATGATAACAGCATGTACAAGACCCAAGCAAGCTCTACCCAAACAAAATCCCAGTATATAAGTGGGGAATCAAGAAGACCTACCCTCAGCTGAGCAACTACTGTCATCTGATAATTACTGGGAGAGGGAGAGTTGGTGTTAAGTGTGTGATGCTAGATAGGTTAATCAGGCTCTAGAAGATGGATGCACACTGAAGGAACTTTGGAGACATAAACTTGGCTCTATAGACATTAATATATATGACAGACTACATGAAAAACTGGCGGGGTGGTATAAGAGGGGTGCAAGTAGGGGAGGGAGACTAAATATGATCAAAATATATGAAACACAAAAATTCAATAAAAATTTAAAAAATGAGTCTCTCAGGGAAGATCAGAAGGAAAGGTACTCTGGACATTTATAAACCACATGCTCAGGTTCTTTCAAATTTATTATTTATTATTAGTGTGTATGATCAAGGGACAAAGGGATAACTTTGTGGAGTTGAATTTTTCCTACCTTTACACATGTCCTGGGGCTCAACCTCAGGTTGTTAGACTTGTGTGGCTAGCACCCTTTTTGCTGGTCCCACATTCTTGGATTCTTAAATGGCCTTAGTTGGTGATGATTGTAAAATTGCTTTTTGCTTTCCTTTATTTCACAGGATTATACACTTACCATGTATTTCCAGCAGTCTTGGAAGGACAAAAGACTTTCATATTCTGGAATCCCATTAAACCTGACCCTTGATAATAGGGTAGCTGACCAACTCTGGGTACCAGACACCTACTTTCTGAATGACAAGAAATCATTTGTGCATGGTGTCACAGTGAAAAATCGAATGATCAGACTGCATCCTGATGGAACCGTTCTCTATGGACTCCGGTAAATGGTTTCATGTTGCATTTTTTTCGTATTGCATTTTCTCTGTGGCTGTTTTTTTCTTCCCTTTTGCAAAGGGGCAGAAGGAAGTAAAAGAAGTAAGAGATGGACTCATGTGTATAGTAAACAGATCAATGACTAGAAAAACTTCCTTTAAAACGATTTGAGCTCAATGTAGGCAACTTTGTCCGTCGAGTGTAAGTGTTGCCTTGACTGCCAAACAATAAAGTTGGAAAACCTGTCATTTCCAGACAGAATTGAAGTTATAACTTTTAAAATCAATTGCTTGGTTATCTCAGTGTCAACTAAACTAAGCCAGAATGAGTTTTGTTCACTGGGCATAGTTAATTATGAGAGATAATTAAAAAACATTTTTGAGCCAGGTGTGGTGGCACACACCTTTAATTCCAATACTCGAGAGACAAAGGCAAGCAGATCTCCGTGAGATGAGGCCAGCCTGATCTACATAGCAAATTCCCAGCTAGCTGGAGCTACAGAAAGACCCTGTCTCA